GCTAGCAAAATTGATAAAATCATCCATTTATTCCATTAAACCGAATAGTTTCCCAACACAAAGTACTGCTTGAGTACCTCTTCCCCAGTTCTGCTCCCATTTCCGCGAGCAGATGGATGAGCTTGTCTCCTACAGAGAGGAAACTGGGAGTTTACATGTAACTCCCCTGAAATCCCTTCCCTCCAACTACAAACTTACGCATGTCTGCCCCAATCATTACTATCACCCTCATCTCCAAATCTCAACCGAGGTCAAGACTCTCCTCGAATGACGACAAAAGTTAATCCCTCCCTTGGTCTGTACTCTTCGGCCTTCCTGCACTCTTGCTTGAGCTTCATTCCCTCGGTGTTTTGTTTTTCCTGGACCACTGCATTCTCCCCCGTGGCTTGCAGTGTCTAATACTGCAGGGACATCTTTCACACTCAGAGGGCATCACCTCATTCCAGGGTCATGTAAATAATTAACACTATTGTTTTTGCAGATTTGATAAAGGCACTTTGTAAACATGGAAAGCAACACAGAAAAATACAAGGAGTAAAAAAATCACCTGAGATCTCTAAGCCAGATATAATCATTCTGAACGTTCTTCTTATTCAGCTTCAGTGGGGGGTACAGCATAATATTTGGTCCTTCTGCAGGTCAGTTCCTCACCTTCAGCATGATCACTAGTCTCATTTGCTCAAGCAACAGAGCAATATTTATATTTATCGCACATAATTCTAAGTTTTACAACAATTACTCTGTGGTAAGTATAACTGTTCCCAAACTTAGAATTACATGTGATAAATATAAAGTGTTTGGACTCGGCACTTATGAATTTCTAGATAATAGCTGAGTATGCCCTTACATTTTCACTCCTGGTGATCCTACAGCATGTACACAGAGTAAACATAACTTTGGATACACAAAACCGAAATGCAGCTCGCTGCTCAGCCTCCTGTAACCCTTCATGCTATCAAAGCCACTTTCTCTGAGGTTACTAATGACTCTTTAATTGCTCAACCCAGCGACCTAGAAGTCATTCTACTCAACTTCTCTGTAGAATCTGACACTTTCGGATCACTGCCTTCTTTATGAAAATTCCATCTTTTTATGGCCTCCATAACAATACTCTCTCCTAAATGTCTTCTGAGTACTCTGGCTACACACCAGCCTCTTTCCTTGCCCTGTTTTCATTCTCGGGCTCACACTAGGATGTTCCCTTGGACTTTTTTCCATTTCAGTGTGTGCTCTCTTTCTGGGAAGACTTACCAGGACATAATTTTCACCTACATGTGAATGGCCCCTCCGTCTTCCACAATAAGGTCTCTTCCCCAAGCTCTAGTACCATATGTCCTGTGGATCGCTAACTATTTAACACACCCAGTAACACCCCAAACCTGTCCTCCACTTCCATTCCTTACCTCAGCTCCTGGCAGCGTCATCTACCTAGTCACTCGAGTTAGAGTCGCATGTCACATCTCCTTCTCTCCAACCCTGTGACGGGCATGGGTTGTATACTCAACAGTCAGCATAATGGAGCGGTCAAGGGCAAGGACTCTGGAGCTGGAGTGCCAGTGTTCAAACTTAGCTCCCCCATGTCTACATGGGTGACCTGGAGCAAGATTCTTCACTGTTCTTAGTGTACTCATCTCTAAAATGAGGATAACGATAGTAGCTACCTCCTGGGGTCCTTGTCAGAATTAAATAAGGTTGTATTTGTAAAGCACTCCAAACAGCATCTGGCACAGAGTAAGTGCTACACAGGTGCTAGTTAGCTAATCCGTTTCTGGTTTGTCCCCGCTCTAGTCCGCCCTCACACTGCCAACAAAGGTTTTTGAGGGGCTGCCCGTTTTTGAGTGGTCATCCAGAGGCCAGTCATTGTGCTTAGGGCTGTATATGTAGAATCTCATTTAATATTCACAGCAACCTGTTAGGGAGGTGTTGATATCCTGATGTGAGAGAGAAAGAAACTGAGGCCCTAAGAGCTAATGTGCTTTAATCAAGGTCACACAGATTATAAATGCCAGAGTTCAGGGGTTTTTTTTTTAGATTTTATTTATTTATTTTTAGAGAGGGAAGGGAGGGAGAGAGAGAGAGAGAAATATTAATGTGTGGTTGCTGGAGGTCATGGCCTGCAACCCAGGCGTGTACCCTGACTGGGAATCGAACCTGCGACACTTTGGTTCGCAGCCCGCGCTCAATCCACTGAGCTACGCCACAGAGTACAGGTTTTAAGTCAGGTCTGTGTATTCCCTGAGCTGGTGTTCAAAACCAGGAAGTTATACCATAGCACTTTCCCAAGGCTGAGCGAGGCACTTACTGTTTAAACTTCTTTAAAGACCCCACACTGCCTGTGCTGGCATGACCTATTCCTTCACAGTCTTGCTCCAACTTAACTTTATTTCCTGCAACTTCCCTCTATGTGGATTGCCCTTCCCATCCTTCTCCCCTTTGCCATTCTTTTTTTCCTTTATTCTTTCAACATTTATTGAATGCTTGAATGCTAGCCAGGCACCACGCTAAACTGGAGAAAACTAGCGATGAGCAACTTGTTTTCAAGGAGCACACAGTCTGACACAAATCACTTCTGACAATACAATGAAGGGTGTGCACCATGTGCATGCGAGGCCCAGAGGGAAGAGGGAGAGGGAGAGTTTCTTTGAGGAGGAAACATTTAGTGGTCTTAAAGGATATTCTAGTCAGACAACTTTTTGTCATTCTTTAATGATCCTGACTTCTTGCTTCTTGCCTTTGAGATTGTTGGGCATCTTTCTCCCGGTCGGATTGTTGTTTAAGACTATGTTTCAAAATCACCTTCTCTGGGTCGCCATCCAGTTGGATTGTGTTTCCTGGTGCATACCTCAATTACAACACATATCACACTGAGGTTTGGTCTCTCTGCCTGTCTTTCTGACTGGACTGTGATGTCTTCCAAGAAAAATGTAGTATTTATTTTGAAATATCCTTCATTCTCTGAGTGGAATGACTGGCATACAATAGTACTCAATAAAGTGTTGTTAAATGAAGAGTTATTGAGGGGTGGGTGGAATGGGAGTAAAAGGGAGAAAACTGTACTTGAACAATGATTAAAATAAAAAAAAGAAATGGAGACTGGAAATATTTTTTAAAAATGAAGAGTTATTTGTCTATATACAAAAGAAAGTGTAATGCTGGAGACCCTTCTGATTCAGACTAAAACTACTCAGCGTATCCTTCATAGTACATTGCCCAGTTCCCCATGAAAAGTATCTACCTTCAATAAATGCTAAGTATTGGATGGTTCTGTCCCTGAAATATCGGAAGTAATGCTAGAAGTAAGGAAAATTCTTATTGAATTTACTTCTGTACATAAATTAGAATTTCCATGTCCAACTGAGTGTCAGAACATGGGATCAGGCATGAGAAAATTTAAGAATTGTTGGTTATAGAGCTAGTATTGAGGATTTCTTTTCCTCTCTGGGTTGGGCCATGGTCTCAGAACCTTGTGCACAGTAAAGCACCAAGATATGGTGCTGTGGGAGCAGGATGCCATAGTCTACAGGAGTTGCTGCCAAGAATCTACCAGTCTAGTCCATTCTGGCCGATGGCCCAGCAAACTCATTTGCAGCTGCTCCTGGTTCCCTCTTCTTAACCGTGCAGCTATTTCCTGTCTGTGGTTGTGCCCTCTTCCTGGGAGCACAGCCTTCTGTTTCACCTATCTCCTTCTGGCAACAATTTACCTCCAGCAGGGGGGAATTGTTATGGTAAGCAGAGGGTACGGTGTTGAGCTGAGAGGAGTCCTCAGTCCTCCTTCTCTTCTTTATTTTGACCTTAACTACCTTTCCACCAGAGGTTGAAGCTTTTGTATAACAAAAGTCAAAAGAGTCATAGCCTATGCCTATTTTCCATTATGCCTCACCCCTCTCCTGAGAAAATGATTGCAGAACGCCTACTGGCATGAATTAAAAGGAAGGGAAAGGGGAAAAATACAGGGAGGGGGAAAAAAAGCCAAAAGCAGAGACTGATACCTCAGAATACTGTCCCAGTCACAGTAGTCCCCTATTTTCTGAGTTTCATCAAAATTGTGAGAATTACAAATTAAAGTACATGTAAGGAATTTAGAATAGTGTTCAGTACATGGACAGTGAGTGTTTAATAAATGCTGGCTGTTATTATCTAGGGCTCCTTCACTGGGGGAAGGACCTGGGATTCTGTCCCAAGGCCAGTCTTCCAGGGCAATTACTCTAATACTCAAAGTAGCGCCAAGCTGTGTGAAGGATCTGTTGTTTCCCATGCTCCTGGAGGGACAGTTTGGTCTGCATACTGGTCCCATTTCTAGTCTCCCTAGGGGGTGAAGTTGCTACCCTACCTCCAGGGGATTCTCTTTCCTCCGAACATTGGTTTCCCTTCCAACCCCACCCCTAATTCCCAGAAAGCTCACTCCCAAGTCCAGTTGGTCCATCCACCCCCCACCACATCCTGGTCTGAGTCCAGGTGTTGTTTTACTGGCCTTTCTGATAGACCTGGAACTGCACAATTACATTGAAATTCAGAAGCAGCATGCAACTTTTGACACTGATGTCTTCAATTACCTTCAACATTTATTGAGCACCTAGAACATGTAAAGTCAGTTTCCTTTAAATGCTTTAGCTCTTAACTATTTAGTCTGTTTTAATTACTCAATTTGGATGAATTCAGATCCATTCTTAAGGGTTTTATGAAAAATAAATATTAAAATAGAAAATATTTGCATAACTCTGCAAATATAAACGACTTGTGTGGATGATTGTTGCTACAGTATTAATATTAATTGTAATAACAACACTGCAACTTCCCAGGCAGGCGATAGAGAGCAGCTGTAAGGCCGAAAGGAGCCAGACGGAAGAGGTCAGGGGAGGTGCCTCTAGCAAGACCAGCCCAGAAAAGGCGGGGCCTTAAGGAATGTACTCAAATCCCGCCCCTTACTCAGCCCCTTTCGTCGGCGCGGCGTAGGCGGTTACCATGGCGATGACGTATAGTGGGCGGGGCTGGAGGGCGGGGCCATGGAGAGGAGGAGGAAGATGGCGGGAGGGCGGCACTGAGGAGACCTCGGCGGCGGCGGAGGAGGAGAGAAGCTCAGCGCCGCGCCGCGCCGGGGCCCATGTGGGGAGGAGTCGGAATCGCTGTTGCCGCCGCCGCCGCTGCCGCCGCCTGTAACTGCTGGACCCGAGCGGGAGTGAGGGGGAAACGTCAGGATGAAGTTCGCTGAGCACCTCTCCGCGCACATCACTCCCGAGTGGAGGAAGCAATACATCCAGTATGAGGTACCGGCGGCGGCCGGGGTGTGGGAGGACTCGGAGGGGCCACCGTGTCGCCAGTCCGACCTCCACGGCCGCCTTCCGCTCTTGCTGCCTCCCCGCGCCCGGGCGGACTTTGACCCGGCGCCGCGGGGAGCCACTGCGGCATCCCCGCCGCGCCGGCCCCCTCCGGGGCCCGCTGACCTTCCCCTCCCCCGCAGCCCCGCTGCCGCCGGGGTAACGGATAGGAAGGCGGTGGGCCGGGAGGGAGGCTCTGCCCCGCCGGGGCTCGGGCACTGTGGTGGGAGGGCGACCCGCCGGTGGGGGAGTGGGGTGCGAGGGCAGCGCCGGTCGCGGCGCTTCCGCGCTAATCCCCTCATCCCCCGTCACCCCGACCTCCCGTCCCCACCCTGGGGCGCGCACCCCCTCGGCAAGGTTAGTTTTGGGTGCTCTCTCCTCACCTCTCTCCCAGGAACCCTCTTCTTCCCAGATCAGCCCCTGCAGGGATTTCCGTCGTCCCGCAGAGCCCCTCGGCTTACCCCACTAGCCCGCTGTTGACAAAGGCTTAGGAACAGGGTTGAAACTTGACTTAAATGTGTTGTCACATAGGCAGTGGTTACCGAAGGCAAACGCATTGTATAATCAACTGTTCTGTTTCGATAATAAGACTCGTCTTTTCACTGATTGCATGAAGTATACAAAGTAATCACATCTCTGGTTTTGGCTCTTCTGTTGTTTTGGAAGGGAGTGAAGGGGGAAGAGGAAGGAGGAAAGAAGAGAATTATTGACATTTTCAGGTTGTTCCCCCTAAAATTTTTGTGAACTAGGGAGAAAAGTACTGTATTGTAAACAAATGGACTTGAAAGCGTACCTGTGTGTTACAGAAATCGTGCCCCCCGCCCCCCAGTTCCTGTGCTAACAGCTCCTGGAGGGTATTGAACAGAGAGTGGTAAGGAACCTTACGTTAATTCAGGGGGAAGTAAAGATGATGACCCCACTGACAGACTCCGAAGGCGAGGCACCCGAAGGGCTGTAAGCATTGCCATAGGTGTCCTCAGTAGCTGGCACTTCAGATCCTGGATAGAGAAAGGACCTGTCTATAAGCTCCAGGAAGTCACATCTGTGTTACGTGCAAGAACAAAGAGTATAAAATCAATATGAAGGCAAATGTGCTAGCTAGATTTTGTGAAATAAAATATTTTAGTTCTCTGTTTAATTTCTACTTAAGTTCAGGGATGGGATGTTTAGGCAATAGCACATTAATTCGTATAGCAGTTGTAATAATTGAAGAAGACAGAGAAAAGGATGTAGGTAGGTTAAACAGAACCTTGGATGATTAGAAAGTAAATTCAGCTTGTAGTAACATACAATATTTGATTATTGCCAGAATTGAAAGGCCTAAAATTATTAATGCTTTTCTTGTCACTTAATTTTCTTACAGTGTTTTGTGGCTACATTTAGAAGCATGAAATAAGGGACTGGCTTTTCAGCCTGGAGAGTTTTTGATTTATTGTTCCTAATAACATTTGGTCAGTTTTAAAACCTTGGCTAGAGTCCAGATGACGGTTTTTATTGAGAGGAGGGTATTGGGCTTTCACGTTTCTAGTGATTTTCAGCACCACTGCCAGTTCTTCAAAGAGGCATAGGACACAGCGTGCTGAGGCAACGTCTCGCACTTGCTGTATAGTATGGCTTGCTTGATTGGGGCAGAAGTAATAGTGGCTGTATGCTGTTATTCATTTTAAGTATTACAGCACTTAACTGTTTCACAGAATTGTATTAATTTGGCATATCTGGGCTCGAAGTGGAAGCATACGGTTTAGTCTGAAAACGCAATTACCTCTTGATTTGTAATGTCAGCTTTGTGACTGGAATAGCCTCAGTAATTCTGGGGCTCCTCATTCACGTACTGCATTTGGATACTAGTCTTAAACCATTACTCCAGGTCACTCACGGAGGGGCAAAATTCCTGAGCATGTGTGTGATTGCATTATCTTTCCCCGGCCAATTATAAATAATTTCACTTACTGTGGATAATTGAGATTTTATTCTGCAGAATCCCTACTATGTGACTCCTGTCCTGGATAAGCTCTTTGATAGACAAAATTAAATAAGGGGCACTTTTCTTTGTGAATTGGAGCCATTAAAGACTTTTAAAAAAAAAATAGGGCTAGCATCTGTGAGTTGTATATTGTTTCTTAAGAGCTTGGTGCTGTCCTTTAAACATACTTAAAGAGGCATAAATAAGAATATTTAGAGTCCAGAAATGTTGGCAGCTTAAAAATTTAGGAGGGGGAAAAGCATCATAAAAAATGTTAGCCTTTGCTAGAGAAAAGAACTGTCTTGTAAAGCAATAACATGTAGTCTCTCATATATGAAGATGATGCTCTTGAAACACTCTTAGTAGAACAAACACCTGAATTTGTTTTTAGGCATGGGTGGTGAAATTTTGGTGTATTACCCCTGATTTCTAGCCTACGGTGGTTTCTAGTGAACCACTAGTGAATAGTGAACCACTATTCACCATAGTGAACCACAATGCTTTATCTTTGGTTTTTATGTTATTTCGCTATATTAAATTTTACTTGAAATAAGCAGAGTGTTACATAGAAGCTGATAATTTTGTTTTATACCTATAATTATATGTATTATTGTGTATATACAATCATACAATAAGTGCTAGTTCTTGTATATGTTAGCCATGAGACCCTGGGGACAGTCTTTTTGCCTTTCCAGGGCTCTTTCCTCCTCTATAAAGTAAGAATAGGGGGCCAGAGCTTTCCAAGGTTCATTGTAGTTCATAGGTTTTTTATTTAACTTTTGATGGTTTTTCTTCCTTGGATTGTTAAAATTATTTGTGTTAGTGACCCATCAGCATCCTGAAAATTTTTGGAGTTTCTAATTTAAAAATAAATTGTGGAGTTCTTAGACTAGGTCTTCATAGGCAAAATAATAAAGCATAAAATACTAGGACAACATGGAGAACCATATAAAGAAAATCTATTTGATTCATTTCTAAATAGTTTTTATAAAGAATAAATGCAAATGAGCATAGACTATTCCTGCTTCCTGTCATCTATTTGAGTGTAAATCTTGGCATATAAAACAGAACATTAATAAATCTTTGTAAGGATATTTTTTTTAAAAATTTAGAATCAGATTGTATATTTTAAGAGTTCTGTAATTGATTAATCAAAATTAACTGAGACCAGTTTCAACCTGATAGATTAGTATGACCATGTTAATATTTTACAGAATATTAGCAAAAGAAGCAAATGTATTTGGTGCCTTAGGCTGCTGACTTGTTGTTTCTTCCCTAGGGCCCTGTGCTTCAGTTTTTAGTGTATACTGTAGTTTTGTAGGACACTAAATTAATGAGGTATCTACATTTTAGGATTTTAGAGTTTGAAGGAAATTCAGAGACTAATTCAGAGACTATCTCCTTGTTTTTTTCAGGCAAGGAAACTAAGGTCAAGAGAGGTTAAGGCACTTGTCCAGGTCATATAGAGATATCTAGTCTCTCGAACATGGATGTTTAGGCATTGGGAGTCAGGTCCCTAGTCTAGCTGTGTGACCCTCATTAAATCACTTTCTCTTTCTGGGCTTTAGGTTCTTTATCTATAATGGGAGCTAACTGGATTTGATGGTTTCTAAGTCACAGCCCTATATTTTCTATGGACCTATCTGTCTGTAAATTTCTGTATGTTTTTATGGTTTAATTATGTTTGATATATGAAGAGGAAAGAATTTGAAGGACTATTATTAATAACATCCTTTTAAATTAATAGTGTCCTTTTAAAATTTTTTGAGGAGATTTAAATCTGTAAATGGAAAGCTGACCTAAAGAAACTCTTTTGTTTAACTTAAGTAAACAGGGATGGCAATGGATTAATTTTTTGTTGCAGGATTTGGGAGAGATTCTGCATAACTGCACATCCCTTATTTTTAAGAATAAGGAAAATTGCCTTAACAGTTGTTGTGATTTTCATTTATAGAACTCTCCCATGAGAACACTTGTGTTGCAGGCTTCAGTTTCCCAAAGGTATTGTGTTGATTAGTCAGGGTTAACTTGCCTTGCTGGGACTTGTTTGAAATTTCCAGTTTGGCCACCCGATGGGGCACAAACCACACTTTTTCTTAGTGCTTCTGCAAATGAAAGTACAGAATAGCATATTTAAGATAATACTTGTGATTGTGTCAGTAAGATGCATAGCATTTACCATGTTTCTTAAAAGAGAAAATGAATGTGTAAGACAGGAAGGTATTACTGTTCATTATTATTTTTGTGGAATGAAATGTGTTAGGGTAAGTATCCTGGAAAGATTATACTTGTCCATCCATCCCTGCAGGTTGGTTTTAAAACAGCCTTTGGGTGAAGGCCCAGATCATAAGAACCTAAGAATCTTATTTGTCCTGGGGTGACCATGGAAAATTAGTCCTGGCTTCAGATCTAGTTCTAATCTGGAAAGAGTTTGAGAGACTGACTGAGTTGTGCTGACTAGGGGTTCCATAGATCCCCAAAGGAGAGTACCCCAAATTCCAATGGAGTAAGAGAAGATAGTATTAGAACTATTAGTTATAGTCATTTTTATACATAAGGCAAGGAAGAAATAAAATTTTACTAATATTTAATAAGTGGATGATGTGGTGATCTTGTTTAGGAGGTATTCCGAGGGAATTTTTCAGTTTATAATCATAATCAAGATTCAAAATCAAGTGAATCCTGAAGGTTGAACTAGAATACTATATCACAAAAATGTTAAGATTTTTAAAAATAATGAAGCTTTTCAGTTATGTTGTTCTCTAAAAGTATTGTTAGTGATGATAATTTCTTAGATTAAAAATATTTTTATAGTATTCATAAATGAAAGGTAAAATTATTTTATCGTCTCATTTTTTTTTAAGATTTTATTTATGTATTTTTAGAAAGAGAGGAAGGGAAGGGGAAAGAGAGGGGGAGAAACATCAATCCGTGGTTGCCTCTCACCCTTCCCTTAATGGGGACCTGGCCCACAACCCAAGCATGT